TGAGATTCAAAGTGGACATTTTGATTGTGCTTTTGCATTAACATATAATAGAAATGTCGACAAAGAGGGTATCCTGGGTATCTATATTCTTACGGATAAGACAATTAAAGTAGAGTACCTTTTATACTACTTTTTATTGACGCAACAGAGCTTAAAGACTTACTTTAAGTCCAGAAGAGGTACTATGGACCAGACGGTTACAGTACCATATCTTTTTAATAATAAATAAATAAGTACGATGACAATTATTATTCTAATAATTTTTTTTATCTGTTAGTATCATTAAGGTTTTTCCCATTAAATATTAACTCTACGGGAGCAGGAAGTTTATTTCTTTAATTAATCTTTGGTATGCTAAAGAAGTACAATTTTAAATGTTAAGTTTATAAAAATTTTAAAAAGAGTCGGAAATTAACTACTCACAAACTGTCTAGTGTCAGGTCTTAGGTTTATTTTCGATACTTAAGGTAAAAAAACTAAACCATTGCTGTCATGGATGGATTAAATTGCATAATGGGAGCTTTCTATCTGATGTTTTAATCAGGCAGAATCTGGTTATAATACAAGCACTTACATTAAATATTAACAGCAGCAATGATAAAAGAAGTGCAAGAAACCTGAGGTTAGAGAAATTTTAATACATCTTTGGTATTATAACTAACAACTTTGATATTAGTTTGAATTATTTAAAAATTCGTTAACGAAACACCTTTTAAGTCATTTGTAGGGATAACCTTTAAGAAGTCTTATCTGGTATCTTTATGGATTTATGAGATCTATGCGTATCCTTTGTCATCCAAATTCACTTATCTATTAAACAGATTGAATTTTTTAGAACCCTTTGATGTAACAAAATTTATTTATATTTATGTATTAATTTTTATTTACTTTTCCAAATTTACCAAAAATTAAACAAAAACTTTAAACCTTAAATTTCCTTAAAGATGTATTCTAATGTGAAAACCATATTCTCTACGTTAGCAAGTTATCTACGCGCGTGTATTAAAAAATTTTTTCTACTTATTAATTTTCAGATACATTCGTATATCTGAGTAGGTACTTCATTTAGATAATATACTATAAGCTATGCTTCGTATGTTTCCTTTATTCTTTTTTCTATAAATATTTTCGATTTACTTAGTATGAATTCCTTCTCTTCTTATCAGCAATGAAATTATTACGCCCTTTTATTATGTCTTCTTACGTTTTTTATAACTTTCTCCACTCATCAATCTTCTGGATATGATAAGTCGTGCGTCATATAATCTTATAAGCTTTGGGCGACTCAACATCAACATGTTCTGCAAATAGTTTCGGATATTAATAAATTTAAACAAAACTTATAAAAATAAATATTTTACCCTAAAATGAATAATAGACGAGGTCCAATTTATTCTTTGAATTTTATCAATTGCTAAAGAGAAAATGTCAGTCACTAGCTTTAAATTATGAACATATTTGTCAACAACTTGATGAAAGTCAATTGACCGTGTCTTGAAACATGAATCATAACTCACAACAATTGAAAATGGTGAATAAAATAAACCAGCTTCCTTTGAAAGTACCGCCTCCGGAACTATGTTCTGTGTGACTAAATGCCCGCCCATTATTCTATACATTGAACTTTGCATATTCGTATAGCAAATTGCTTCCTTACTGGCCATTATTAAGCCACCTTTATGTACTTCGATTCTCAGTTCATCAGCTGCATCCATTAGTAATTTGGTCAAGAGTTCTGAAAAAGCTGGTTTCATCATTACATGACAATCCCGCTTAGGAGGTCTATATAGTGACGTCCGTAAACCAGTTAGGTCTATAAAGTCATCTGGTATCACAAAATCTCCAGGTTGTATGCGTTCCATAAGTGAACAACCAGCAAAAACTGACAGCACATGCGTAACGCCCAATTGTTGGAGTCCCCAAATATTTGCACATGAATTAACGGCTTCAGGTCGTATGAAATTTTTCCGATTATGACGTGCTAATATTACACACCTCAAGCCGTGCAAGTCACCCTCCACAAAAGTATCACTCGGTGTACCGTATGGTGTATAAAACTTTAGCTCACGAATATTACTTAATTTTTTTTTCATTAAATCCTCAAACCCAGGACAGGCAATTATAGCAACCTTTATATGTATGAAATAGTTTGAAATTGATATATCTTAATCAAAATCAATTTTTTTAGTGTGGGAACTTACGGGAACTTACTTTAAATACAAACACTTGTGTAGCAGAATTCTTTATTAGATGTCTCATAAACTTTACTTTAGACATGTTCAGGAAGTTTATTGATATTTACTATTAACTTTTAAAGTCTAAACAGAGAATTTAGTACTATTTTATTGTTTTATAATTTGGAAATTTTTGGAAACTAAAATTACAGAAAACTATTTCAATTTATTGCATTATTTTATTTATAATGTTCTAATCATGTCATTTCAAATTTTTTTTAATATGATAGCTAAGTTTAATTAACAAATTATAAGTATACATATGTAGAAACCACCTCCCTTAAGATATATAAGAATGGGAAGAAAAATATTAGAATTTACTTTTATTCATAAATAAGTTCGTAAATCCAAAAGAATCTTTAGCTATCAATGATAAAATCAGAATTCGTCAGAATTAGACAAAAATACGTCTTACAGATGAATGCTTACATTAACCTTTTAGCCATAAATCTCGTCTCAGTGATTAGACACTCATGATGGAATAAGACCGTTCACCTATAGGCAAAGCGAAAGCTACTTCACCACTTTACTAAGGACCAAAGATCTTACTTCAAGTATTATATCGAATACTTGTAATGTTTGCGAAATAGTTTTAAGATTTATATGGTTAGTGTTAGTATTTAAGTGAGAAAAATGCATTTAAAAACAAAATGAATAATAAATTGTTATAGAAGAAGGGGAAGAGAACTATTTTTTAGAACTGGGATCGGTGTTGACTAGTAAAGTGAATAGTAGTAGAGGATTCTATTCACGAATTTCTCAAAAGAACTTATTTAATATGAATTATAAATCAAAATAAAATATAAACTTTCGAAAAATGAAATGGAAAGCTCAGTGATGCTGACCTTTGGGTTGCACACACCTGTAATTACAAAGGCATTATTTAGCTGTTACAGGTATTCTGACATATCACGCATACATTAACTTAGGCTTGGTTTTTTATTTATCGTATTAATTACATATACCATATTCCTACGTAGAATGAATTGAACAAAATTATTATAGTTACACCTTAGACTATGCAGCAGTTTATGTAAATATTGCTATATATGTGTGTACTCGTATTCGGTAAATACAGTACGAGTATTGAGAGGTTTCAGTGCGGAAATATTTGTATATATCTGAAGCTGTGTTTTTATCTGATTATTTAAATTTTATGCTTATTGCGTATAAATAATTTATTAGTGCCATCAAATAGCGTGAAAATAGTATGGTAAACCCAGTCAAATGCCATGGGAAATGAAAATTATATGTTTTACCCAAACATGTGCTAGCACATAGTTTGGCATGCGTATATTATAGTAGTGCGTCTATACATTGGTAAAATTTTCCGTGTACGAGTATACCCTTTGGTGTTAGGAGTACATGGAATATCGAATAATTTTCTAGTTAGTACATTTGATGTTAGCACTAATATTAAGCCAGAAGTATACAAGCATAGAAGTGCGACGAGTTTACATAATCATATCCATTAATATTTAATTTCGTAGGCGCAAAAACACACGCACAGATACTCACACTCACACTCACACTCACACATTTGTGGGAAACTACGAATACATTTGCCCAAAACGCAAATGAAATGTTTAGATTAAAGTTCCGTTTGCATAAAATGAGTTCCATAAATGTGCGTTACAGTCAAATTTCGTATATTTTAGGCTTTCGAGAACATTACCTGGTACTTGCGTACTTATGTACATGTGTACGTGCCTATGCGCCTACGCCAGTACGTATTTGTTCGCATAATAAATTAAGCATGTTTCAATTGACATTTATTGGTGGTACTGTAAAATAATATGAATTCTATTTTTAACCGAAAATAAAGTTGTTAAAATGATTGCGTTTCGGTCATAAATACATTTGCATTAAATCCCATGTATGCACCAATATACGTTCGTATTAGAGTGTTTGCTGACTGAATGTTCGATACATACTCGAACATTAATTGAGAGATAAAACAAATAAAGCCGAAAATAAATTCAATATAAATATTAAATTGATTTCGTTTTGGAATTCACGCGTAATATAAGTCCGAAATAGTTTCTGCGCAAATTAAATACGCAAGCCAAACCATGAATAAATAATTTCACACAAAATACCTTTGTTCTGGCCATTAGATACCTGCTGTTTTGGAATTGAGGTTAAAGGCAATTTCCACAATTTTTATTAGCAAATTTATTGAAATTTATAATAATTGTTATTAAAATAATAACATATTTGCCATTATGGCAGTACAGTTCATTTAGATATTGTTTGGCCATACATTCGCGAAATTTTCAAACAAACACTTTGACAGTTTTACGTACGCTCAATGCAGGATTTAAAACAATAGTTATTAACTATCATTGTTAGGTGTTACAAAAATATACTGGAGCATGTCCATTTCAATAACATTTTCGTGATCAGGTCTAATCTATAAAACGTCTCAGTTGATGGGCTTCTTAAAACCACATTTCTAACCTATACAACACTGGTAGGGTAGATTAAAGGATTAACTGTACACACACAGCACTTCTTCGGGTGTTGTCCTATATTGGGACCTTTTAGACGAATTTGTTTTCAAAGAGAATCTTTAGTAGAAGAAGAAGTAAACAGTGTGCTTAATAGAGAAAATGACCCTGATTGGAAAAAATTGAGTAACTATATTACTAGTGCTTTGAAATACAAAAAACTAATTATATACGAATGTAATAGTTTTTAATTAAAATTTAATTTAATTAATTTTTTCTATCTATCTATCTATCTATCAATCTATCAATTTATCAATCTATTAATCTATCAATCTCTCAAATTATCAAATTATCAATCTATCAATCTATGAATCTATCAATCTATCAATCTATTAATCTATCAAAATGTCCATCTATTAATCTATCAATCTATTAATCTATCAATATATTAATCTATTAATCTATCAATCTATCAATCTATCAATCTATCAATCTGTCAATCTATCAATCTATCAATCTATCAATCTATCAATCTGTCAATCTATCAATCTATCAATTTATCCATCTATTAATTAATCAATCTAAATTAGAGGATTAGACGTGCAGTAATCAAAAAAACCACACAGAAGTTAAGGCACACGCGATCTCTTCCGGCTGAACTTGCTTCATCTAGCTACTCTCATCCTCAGATCTTTACATCCACTATCATCATCACTCATATCGTCGGAAGTGTTACTCACAGCCGCTCGCTGCGACGCTTTCCACGTTCTAGTCAAGATCATGAGTTGTATCCTAGGGAAGGCTCAACGAGTCCGACATGGTCCTGCTGCCGGATCCGGAAACGGCCGTCATGGACCCGTTCTCCGCGAAGCCGCAGCTCATCCTGTTCTGTGACATCGTCGACCCGAAAACCGGTGGTTTCTACAACCGTGACCGCGTCGACTGCAAAGCTTCCAGAAGCCTATCTGAAAGAAGCCGGCTTCGGTGACACGGCATTCTTCGGTCCGGAAGCTGAGTTCTTCATCTTCGACAACGTGCAGTTCGGCACGGGCCCGAACTTCGGCACGTACCAGCTCGACAGCATCGAAGGCCCGGGCGCATCCCTGAAGGCCTACCCGGAAGGCAACATGGGCCACCGCCCTGTCGTCAAGGGTGGCTACTTTCCTGTCCCTCCAGTGGACAGCGAACATGACCTGCGCGCCGAAATGCTCTCCACGATGGGCGAAATGGGCCTGCCGATCGAGAAGCACCATCACGAAGTTGCACAGTCCCAGCATGAGCTTGGCACGAAGTTCGCAACGCTCGTGAAGTCCGCTGACTTCATGCAGATCTACAAGTACTGCGTGCACAACGTCGCCCACTCCTACGGCAAGACGGCCACGTTCATGCCGAAGCCTATCGCAGGCGACAACGGCTCTGGCATGCATGTTCACCAGTCCATCTGGCGTGACGGCAAGCCAACATTCGCTGGTGACAAGTATGCGGACCTGTCTGATGAAGCCCTGTACTACATCGGCGGCATCATCAAGCACGCGAAGGCTCTGAACGCCTTCACGAACCCGTCCACCAACTCCTACAAGCGTCTGATCCCGGGCTTCGAAGCGCCTGTGCTGCTCGCCTATTCCGCAGCCAACCGCTCCGCTTCCTGTCGTATCCCGCATGCGACGAACCCGAAAGCAAAGCGCGTTGAAGTCCGCTTCCCGGACCCGATGGCAAAAACCCATAACCTCGCCTTCGCTGCCATGGCTGAATGGTGGCCTGGACGCATCCGCAACAAGATCCATCCGGGCGACGCCATGGACAAGGATCTGACGAACACTGCCGGAAGCAGAGCTGGCCAAGATCCCGACGGTCTGCGGTCGCTTCCGTGAAGCCCTCGAAGCCCTCAAGGAAGATCACGCGTTCCTTCTCGAAGGCGGCGTCTTCACCAAGGACCAGATCGAGAGCTACATCGACATCAAGTGGGCAGAAGTCTACAAATTCGAACACACGCCGCACCCGGCAGAGTTCGAAATGTACTATTCGGTCTGATCCGAACAGACATCTGTCAAACGAGAAAGCCCGGCCATCGCGCCGGGCTTTTTTGTATGCAGTTTCCCTGCTACGGCACCCCTTATGATGCACCCCGCCTTCGAGGCTTTCTCAACTTCCATCCTGCCGGTTCTGGATATCGCCGGCACCGCTGTGTTCGCCGTCTCAGGAGCACTGGCGGCCGCACTACGCCTGACGATCCTACATTCATGTTCTTCGCCGCCATCACAGGAGTTCGGAAGGTAGGCACTCCGCCGATCTGGCGTATGCCGTAGCCCCGGCATGGATGCACCCAACTCCACCGGAATCACCGTCTGTATGGTCTGCGCCCTGCTCGTCTGGTTCACCCCCGGGCGCCTCTGGTCAGAACGCGCCGTGGACTGGTTCGATGGAATGGGCATTGCCGCTTACGGCGTGTACGGGGCAGCCAAAG